TTCGGCGGTTAGTTTTAGAAAGAAAGGGTCCAGATTGTCTAGCCCAGATAATTTGTAGGGGTCCAGATTTTGCAGCTCATTCAGAACATCAGCTGTCTGAATTTGTGTGAAGGAGAAGCGGGGGGGGGGCATGGGCAAGTTGCAGCGGAGGGTGCAGAGCTGGTGGCCGGGGTAGTGGTAGCCAGGTGGAAAGCATGGCCAGCCGTAGCAAAATGCTTGTTGAAATTCTCGATTATTGTAGATTTATCGGTGGTGATAGTGTTTCCTAGCCTCAGTGCAGTGGGCAGCTGGGAGGAGGTGCTCTTATTCTCCATGGACTTTACAGTGTCCCAAAACTTTTTGGAGTTAGTGCTACAGGATGCAAATTTCTGTTTGAAAAAGTTAGTCTGCTAAATGGCATATACAGTTGAAGTCGGAAGTTTACATACACCTTAGCCAAATACATTTAAACTCAGTTTTTCACAATTCCTGACATTTAATCCAAGTGAAAATTCCCTGTTTTAGGTCAGTTAGGATCACCACTTTATTTTAAGAATGTGAAATGTCAGAATAATATAATTATTTATTTAAGCTTTTATTTATTTCATCACATTCCCAGTGGGTCAGAAGTTTACATACACTCCATTAGTATTTGGTAGCATTGCCTTTAAATTGTTTAACTTGGGTCAAACGTTTCATGTAGGTCAAACGTTTCACGGTTGAGATGGTGTTCTTCGGCTGGCAAGTGACCCCCTTTTTCCTCCAAACATAACGACGGTCATTATGACCAAACAGTTCTATTTTTGTTTCATCAGACCAGAGGACATTTCTCAAAAAAGTACAATCTTTGTCCCCATGTGCAGTTGCAAACCGTAGTCTGGCTTTTTTATGGCGGTTTTGGAGCAGTGGCTTCTTCCTTGCTGAGCGGCCTTTCAGGTTATGTTGATATAGGACTCGTTTTACTGTGGATATAGATACTTTTGTACCTGTTTCCTCTAGCATCTTCACAAGGTCCTTTGCTGTTGTTCTGAGATTGATTTGCACTTTTCGCACCAAAGTACGTTCATCTCTAGGAGACAGAACGCGTCTCCTTCCTGAGTGGTATGACGGCTGCGTGGTCCCATGGTGTTTATACTTGCTAACTATTGTTTGTACAGATGAACGTAATACCTTCAGGCGTTTGGTAATTGCTCCCAAGGATGAACCAGACTTGTGAAGGTCTACAATTTGTTTTCTGAGGTCTTGGCTGATTTCTTTTGATTTTACAATGATGTCAAGCAAAGAGGCACTGAGTTTGAAGGTAGGGCTTGAAATACATCCACAGGTACACCTCCAATTGACTCAAATTATGTCAATTAGCCTATCAGAAGCTTCTAAAGCCATGACATAATTTTCTGGAATTTTCCAAGCTGTTTAAAGGCACAGTCAACTTAGTGTATGTAAACTTCTGACCCACTGAAATTGTGATACAGTGAATTAGAAGTGAAATAATCTGTCTGTAAACAATTGTTGGAAAAATTACTTGTGTCATGCACAAAGTAGATGTCCTAACCGACAAGAAATTTGTGGAGTGGTTGAAAAACGAGTTTTAATGATTCCAACCTAAGTGTATGTAAACTTCCGACTTCAACTGTATAACAGTCCCATCATGTCAGTCTAATAGCTGTGTTGTTAAATTGGCCACGATGTCAGCTATCAACAAGCTGGTATTCATCTCTCATTTTCTCTCGTTCAACCCACAGGCAGAATTACAGTGTTTCTAGTCATAAACAGATGTTTCTAATTTTCCCTCCCACTCTTTATTTTGTTTAGGTAATGGGGGTGTGGTTTAGGTAATGGGGGTGTGGTTTAGGTAATGGGGGTTTGGTTTAGGTAATGGGGGTTTGGTTTAGGTAATGGGGTGTGGTTTATGTAATGGAGGTGTGGTTTATGTCATTTGGGTGTGGTTTAGGTAATGGGGGTGTGGTTTAGGCAATGGGGATTTGGTTTTGAAATGTCACTGTTTCTGTGGTAACAGTATTATTGGGCTGTGTGATTTGGCAAACAAACATTTCAACATCTTCCTCTTCCCCTCCTCCCTTTCTCTCCCCCTCCCTCTCCTCCCCCTCTCTCTCCTCCCCTCCTCCTCCTCCTCTCCCTCTCTCTCCTCTCCCTCCTTCCCCTCTCTCTCCTCTCCCTCCTCTCCCTCTCCCCTCCTCTCCCTCCTCCCCCTCTCTCTCCTCTCCCTCCTTCCCCTCTCTCCTCTCCCTCCTTCCCCTCTCTCTCCTCTCCCTCATCCCCCTCTCTCTCCTCTCCCTCCTCTCCCTCCTTCCCCTCTCTCTCCTCTCCTCCTTCCCCTCTCTCTCTCCTCTCCCTCCTTCCTCTCTCTCCTCTCCCTCCTTCCCCCTCTCTCTCTCCTCTCCCTCCTTCCCCTCTCTCTCCTCTCCCTCCTCCCCCTCTCTCTCCTCTCCCTCCTTCTCCTCTCCCCCCTTTCCCCTCTTTCTCCTCTCCCTCCTTCCCTCTCTCCTCTCCCTCCTTCCCCTCCTTCCCTCCTCTCGCTCCCTCTCTCTCCTCTCCCCTCTCTCTCCCTCTCCCTCTCTCTCCCTCCCCTCCCCTCTCCCTCTCCTTCCTTCCCCTCGCTCTCCTCTCCCTCCTTCCCCCTCTCTCCTCTCCCCCCCTTCCTCTCTCTCTTCTCCTCCTTCCCCTCTCTCTCCTCTCCCTGCCTTCCCTCCTTCCCCTCTCCTCCTCTCCCTCCTCCCCTCTTCCCTCTCCCTCCTCTCGCCCTCCTTCCCCTCCCTCCTCGTCCCTCCTCCCCCCTTCTCTCCTCTCCCTCCCTTCCCTCCTTCCCTCCTCTCCCTTTCCTCTCCCTCCTTCCCCCTCTCCCCCCTCTCCCTCCTTTTCCCCTCGTCTCTCCTCTCCCTGCCATCTCCCCCCTTCCCCTCTCCCTTCCTCCCCCTCCTTCCGCCTCTCTCTCCTCTCTCATCCATCTCCAGGCCTCCTCTCCCCTTCCCCTCTCATCATCCCTCCCCGTCCCTTCCCCTCTCTCTCCTCCCGCCCTTCCCGCTCGTCTCTCCTCTCCCCGCACTTCCCCTCTCTCATCCTGCTCCCTCATCCCCCTCTCTCTCGTCTCCCTCCTTCCCCTCGCTCTCCCTCTCTCGTCACTCTGTTCCGCTCCTTCCCGCTCCTTCTCCTATCACCTCATCCCCTCTCTCCTCCTCGCTCCCTCCTCTCCCTCCTTCCCCTCTACCTCTCCGTCCTACTCCTCCTTCCCCTTCCCTCTCCTCATTGAAAAAGAGAAAATCCTCTCCTCTTCCTCTCTTCCTCCTGCTCCCCCTCTTCTCTCGCTCCTCGTCCCTCCTCTCCCTCCTTCCCCTCTCTCTCCTCTCCCTCTCCCAGGTGAATCTGTTTGTGTTGCTGTCGGTGGTGTGCGTTCTCCTCAACCTAGCTGGCTTCATCCTCTGCTGCCAGGGGGCTCAGCTGGTCTCCACCATGACTAACTGCCAACTGGTGAGACACACACATACACACACCCTTGTTAGCATCTTGAACTGGTGTTAGCGGATGTCTCTCTTCCTCTGCTTCCTCTCTACCAGAGGTATCTACCTCATCAATGTCACCTCTCTACATCCTCACACCATCCATCACTTAATTAGTCCAACCAGACCCACACAGAGACCAGGCCTGCGTCCCAAATAGCACCCTATTCCCTACATAGTGCACTACTTTTGACCAGAGCCCTGGTCAAAATTAATGCCCTATATAGAGAATAAGGTTCCATTTGGAACTCAAACCAGGGCTGGTTCCAGTTCCAGTGATATCAACATAGCACAGTTTATTAGCCTAGCCAGCTAGACAGGAGCTCAGATGTTAGACCTGCTGAAACTCCTCCTGCCCCAAAACCTTATTGAACACAAGCTGTGTATTGGGTCAGACTGGTGCTGAGATCTGGGCATCAACACACGCGGGCAGATGCACACACACATACACATTTCACAAACACAAACACACATGCACACACACACACACCCTGTAATGTGAGGCTGAGATGAGATAAGAGGTGAGGGCAGGGCAGGGTATGGTATGGTGGGTTTATGGTGCCCCCTGTGGTGCAGTGGTTTGCCCTAGTCTCCCCTCTCGCAGGGTGAGTAATAGAGTCTCCCGTCCAGACCATCTGCTCCTCTAATCTGGTGTAATTTTAACTGCCCTAGAGGAGAGGGAGGGGGAGAGAGAGAGAGGGGGGGGGGAGATGGGGAGGAGAGAGAGAGAGAGAGAGAGAGAGAGATGAGAGGAGAGGGGGGGGGATGTAGATGGAGATATCTAGCGATGAGAGAGAATCTGCTGAGGGCTTGCTCGGATCCGGGGTTGCTGGCTTTCTGGCGTGGATCTGCGCTTCTCTCGCGTCTCCGGTGTGCGCTCTCGCTCGCTTCTTGCGTCGGGTCTGCTTCTGCTCTCTTGCTTTTGTCTCTGCTGGCTTCTCTCTCGCGCGCTTTCTTGGTCTTCGTCGCTCTCTCTGCTCTGGTCTGTCTGTGCTCTCGCGCTTCTGCTTTTCTCGGCTGGGCTCTTTCTCTGCGCTCTTCTCGTTCTTTGTCGTGCGGCGCTCTCGCTCTTGCCTGCGTGCTTGGGGCGCGTTTCGCTCTCGTGGTCTTCTCTCGCTCTTCGCTCGCGCTGGTCTTGCTTTTGCTGCTGGCTTTCGCTCTCTTGTTCGCGTTCTTCTGCGCTCTCTCTCTTTTTCTCTGTCCCGCTCGCTTTCTTGGTCGCTCTCTCTCCTCGTCTCTTCCAAAATGTAGACGCCTGAAGGTGAAATATCTCTCACTCTCACTCTGTCGATGTGTCTCTCTCCTACCAGTTTCCCTCCTTGCCCTCTTTCTCTGCCTCCTTCCTTCCTTCCTTCCTTCCTTCCTTCCTTCCTTCCTTCCTTCCTTCCTTCCTTCCGTCCTTCATTTTTTCTGGTTGAAAGTCTTGACAATCTTAGAATAGGTTGCGATGAGGCACAGTCTGTGTAGTCTTGACATTTCTTCTTCCTGTTCTGTTGTGTGTTTCAGAGTGAGTCTAACGGCCATGTATCTGGTGTGTGTGTGTGTGTGTGTGTGTGTGTGTGTGTGTGTGTGTGTGTCTAATGGTGTGTGTTGTGTGTTTCAGAGCGAGGCGGGAGACGTGTGTAACTGTTGTCCTCAGATCCCCACTGCCAAGTGTCCTGAGGAGAAACTACTCAGACTCTACCCTGGACACTCCTGTAGCACCGTGAGGGTCCTGCTCAAGGTGTGTGTGTGTGTGTGTGTGTGTGTGTGTGTGTGTGTGTGTGTGTGTGTGTGTGTGTGTTCATGCGTGCCTGTGTGTGAGAGAGAATGTGTGTTCATTGTCATCATATTACACGATATCAAATCAAATCAAATCAAATGTTATTTGCCACATGCGCCGAATACAACAGGTGTAGACATTACCGTGAAATGCTTACTCACAAGCCCTTAACCAACAATGCATTTATTCTTTAATAAAAAAGTAAAATAAAACAACAACAACAAAAAAGTGTTGAGGAAAAAAAGAGCAGAAGTAAAATAAAATAACAGTAGGGAGGCTATATATACAGGGGGGTACCGGTGCAGAGTCAATGTGCGGGGGCACCGGCTAGTTGAGGTAGTTGAAGTAATATGTACATGTGGGTAGAGTTAAAGTGACTATGCATAAATAATTAACAGAGTAGCAGCAGCGTAAAAAGATGGGATGGGATATATAATAGATGTATAATGATATAGTGAGATAAGATGGTTCTTGGTGGTTCTGGGTGGTTGTGGGTGGTTCTGGCTAACTCTGCCTCCTGTCTGTCTGTTTCCAGAAGGTTCTGTTTGCTCTGTGTGTTCTGAATGCTCTGACCACTGCAGTATGTCTGGTGGCTGCTGCTCTGCGATACCTACAGATCTTCACCACACGACGGCCATGTATGGTAAGGCTACAATACCTCATCATAACCAATCACAGGGCCTCAGAGCTCCAGGCTCAACCAATCATGTAGATTAGAATCTGCAGAATCTGCATCACATAGCAGAAGAATCTCCTGTATAGCCAATTAGTGATTGTTTTGTTTGTCAACACTAAAGATGCATCTCAATAAGTGACTTCTTCTGTCGTCATCTCTTTTCCTTCTCCTCCCACTTTCTGAAAGGATGACCCCAGGCCAATCACAGAGGAAGGGGAGCAGCCAACTATTGTCCCTGACCCAGATGAGTTTGTTCCCCCTGCCCCTCCCCCCTCCTACTTCTCAACCTTCTACTCCTACACACCCCGCCTGGCTCGCAGGATGTTTGGGGACAGTGTGATACCTCTGCCTCCTGTCTATGCAGCCAGGATTAAAGGAGTGGAGGTGTTCTGTCCTCTTGACCCTCCCCCTCCATACGAGGCCGTTACAGGAGGCTCCGCCCTCGCCACCGCAACACAGGTACACACAACGTTCAGGCACAGCTTATACAGTGCATTCAGAAAGTATTCAGACCCCTTGACTTTTTCCACATTTTGTTACTTTACAGCCTTATTCAAAAAAAAATATATATATATATATATATTCCCCTCATCAATCTACACACAATACCCCATAATGACAAAGCAAAAACTGGTTTTTAGAAATATCACATTTACATAAGTATTCAGACCCTTTACTCAGTACTTTGTTGAAGCTCCTTTGGCAACGATTACAGCTTTGAGTCTTCTTGGGTATGTTGCTACAAGCTTGGCACATCTGCAGATCCTCTCAAGCTCTGTCAGGTTGGATGGGGAGCGTCGCTGCACAGCTATATTCATGTCTCTCCAGAGATGTTTGATCAGGTTCAAGTCCGGGATCTTTCTGGGCCACTCAAGGACATTCAGAGACTTGTCCCGAAGCGACTCCTGCGTTGTCTTGGCTGTGTGCTTAGGGTCATTGTCCTGTTGGAAGGTGAACCTTCGCCTCTGTCTGAAATCCTGAGCGCTCCGGAGCAGGTTTTCATCAAGGATCTCTCTGTACTTTGCTCTGTTCATCTTTCCTTCAATCCTGACTAGTCTCCCAGTCCCTGCCGCTGAAAAACATCCCCACAGCATGATGCTGCCACCACCATGCTTCACCGTAGGAATGGTGCCAGGTTTCCTCCTGACGTGACGCTTGGCATTCAGGCCAAAAAGTTAAATCTTGGTTTCATCAGACCAGAGAATCTTGTTTCTCATGGTCTGAGAGTCTTTATGTGCCTTTTGGCAAATTCCAAGCGGGCTGTCATGTGCCTTTTACTGAGGAGTGGCTTCCGTCTGGCCACTCTACCATGAAGGCCTGATTGGTGAATTGCTGCAGAGATGGTTGTCCTTCTGGAAGGTTCTCCCATCTCTACAGAGGAACTCTGGAGCTCTGTCAGAGTGACCATCGGAATATTGGTTGAACGCCCAGACTCTGTGGTTGCCAGGTGATCTTGCCTAAGCAGCCGCAATCTGGGAGCAAACGCTTTGCTGAGAAAGGATGCACTTGGCTATCTTTGTGTAACCCGTAGTGAAAGTATAAATATGCTTAGGGGAAGTACCTCCTCAGAGCTTCTGACTAACTTGCACTGTAGAACCTAGTCATCAGCAGAAACTGGTAAGTTAGAACTCTATATGGTGTGAGGAAAGGGTTAAAGGTTTTAAACTCGGAGAAGACTTACAAGGAAGAATTGGTGGACTACAGGATATGTTTGCCTTTAGATGCTTGCTAAATTTAAAATTGATTAACAAAAGGGAGGAGTGTTATGGGACATGTTAATTGTATGTGTCCACATAACTGAGTATGTGACTAACCAACATCATCCTGTGTTGCAAACCAGTTTGCGCCTGTGTCCTTGTATAGATAAAAGGAGAACTGAGAGTCCCGCCCAAGAACAGAAAACTATAAAGATATGTGCTTATCACCCAACGCTTCGGAATTCAGACTCTACACTGCGCTGTGTAACTCTGTTATTCTCTCTGAGCTCAGAAATAAAGAATCTTGGTTTGACTTGGACTCCAGCAGATCCTTATTTTATAATATCCACCACAATTCTTGGTCACCTCCCTGACCAAGGCCCTTCTCTCTCGATTGCTAAGTTTGGCCAGGTGGCCAGCTCTAGAAAGAGTCTTGGTGGTTCTAAACTTCTTCCATTTAAGAATGATGGAGGCCACTGTGTTCTTGGGGACCTTCAATGCTGCATAATACTGGTACCTTTCACCAGATCTGTGCCTTGACACAATCATGTCTCAGAGCTCTACGGACAATTCCTTCGACCTCTTGGCTTGGTTTTTGCTCTGACATGCACTGTCAACTGTGGGACCTTATATAGACAGGTGTGTGCTTTTCGAAATCATGTCCAATCAATTGAATTTACCACAGGTGGACTCCAATCAAGTTGTAGAAACATCTCAAGGATGATCAATGGAAACAGGATGCACCTGAGCTCAATTTCAAGTCTCATAGCAAAGGTTTTTATTTTATTTTATTTTTTTATAAATTTGCTAAAAATTCTAAAAACCTGTTTTCATTTTGTCATTATGGGGTATTGTGTGTAGATTGATGAGATTATTTATATATTTAATCAATTTTAGAATAAGGCTGTAACGTAACAAAATGTGGAAAAAGTAAAGGGGGCTGAATACTTTCCGAATGCACTGTAAATGTGCTATGTATGGATTATGAATGGGTTATGTATGGGTTATGAATGGATTATGTATGGGTTATGAATGGATTATGTATGGGTTATGAATGGATTATGTATGGGTTATGAATGGGCTATAAAGTCCTGGTGTAGGTACCTTTCAAATAAATTGTTACCCATTATTTAATGCCAATAACAATAGTGATGATCAGATAAATGAATGAATAAAGGTAATGAATAGATGTATAATGTACATCGCTATCATTAATATCTCTACATCCCTGAACACGACCCCTGACATCTCTACTGTGTGTTTCTGTCTAGGAGACAGAGATTCAGGTTGCCATGACAGATCTGACTGATTTGACGGAGGAGTTGAGTGACCGCTCGGAGGAGGGTACTTCTGTTAGAGGTAGATCACACCATAGAATTACACACAAACAGACACCAAGACATGCTTGGCCTAAACATGACAGGCTTTTTATGGCAGGTTTCAGCTCTCTGTATGCGAAACTCTCAATGGAGGACATTTGGGCCTATCCAAACCTTAATGGGAAAAATCGTGAATCTCTCATATCTTCACATTAATAAATGTTTAATCATGAAAAAAGCCTTGGGAAAGCCATGTGTGTGTTTGTGTATGTGTGTATGTGTTGACAAAGTATTCCCCAGACCCAGACCATATCCTGCAGAAAGTCCTGGTTGGAGGTCTATAGTTATCCTAGTTGAAGATGTCT